GGGGGCGGCAGAGGGCGCTGCGGCCGCGCGGCGGGGCGGGAGCGGGGCCGGGGCCGGGGCTGGGCCCAGCCCGGAGGGGGCATCATCCTGTGGCTCCAGAGCCCGCACAGGGAGCGCCGCCTTCTCTTTAGAACGAGAAATCACCCTGGTTTGCGGGGCTCCCGAGAATCTGTGTTTCATCCACACGCGCACGTGGGCCGATGTTTACATACTTGAAGACTGGGAATAGAACGGATGTCAATTGTGCGATGCGTGAATGTTGATCAGTTTCACTTTGCTGTACTAACTGCTTGCTTAAACCTTCCATCTGAAGCCAACATGTCTCGGGAGACAGGCAGCGCGGCGCAGCAGTCCCAGGGCGGCACCAGCTCCTCGTCCAGTGGGTCCCAGAGCACTAGCCAGTCTTCCTCCAGTTCTGGGACCCTCAGTTCTTTGGACACTGTCCCCACTCAGGAACTTCCTTCGATCCCTGAGGACCAGGAACCTGAAGAGTTTGTTCCCCAGCCTTGGGGTCGACTCTTTGCACTTGGAAAAGGTTTCAGCAATTGTGGTAGGTTCATTCTTTGACCAGCCTCTTTGTTCCTTTGTAGCAGCTTAGCAGAGAGTAATGTCATTTCATTCTCAAATTACGTACAAGCACTTGAAGGATAGGCGTGCAATTTTTTGAATAATTTTGTATTCTGTAGTACATCCCAGTGTTTATGCTGAGGACCTGGACACACAGCTGCCATGGACCTAGCGGAGAGGTAGAGGAGTGCTGGGCTGTTCATGTGCTTTCTTGCTTGGTTCATTTTGTCATTTCATAATTTAGTTTGTTTATATATCACATGAGCCTCTCTTGTGTTGCTGAAGATGAACTGAAAACTCTACAGCTCCTGAGAAGGATGAAATTATGAAAATATTGTAGAAAGCGTTGGTGGTGCATGGTGCTTTGTCTGAATTCAGACAAACTTGATTATGTGGGAAGAATCTTGTCTGTGTTTCCTGCTTACTGCCATTTGGCATCATTCTGTAGTGCCACACTTGGCAACTTACTGCAACTTTGTATTCTCTCTCTGCTTTATTTCCCCTCCTCTACAGAGTGTGTGAATGATGAATACTGGTTTGGAAGAGACAAAAGCTGTGATTATAGTTTTTCTAAGCTAGGATTGTCTGAGACTGGCTTCTACCAAAACTACAGCAAGAAGCATTTCCGAATTTTCAGGGTAGGTGCTAAAAGCTTAACTGTCTTGGCATAACTCAATAAGAAGGTTGACTCTGGTGGGGGAAGATCCTAAAGAAACTGAAGTTTAAGGACCTTCAGTGTTGACTCCTTTAAAAAGACTCTTGGCAATGCTCCATTATCCTGGTTTATGGAAAACCTTCAGTAGTCTGATTTCCTGAGCCAACAACAGTAAATTTCTATACTCTGTTAGGTCTTCACAATGAAGTAATTTTTCCCTATTGTTATCTTTCCTTTTTTTTTTTTCTCTTTGAGGAAACGGGTCCCAAAAATTCCTATGTTGCCTATATTGAAGACCACAGTGCAAACGGAACTTTTGTTAATAAAGAGCTCATTGGAAAAGGGAAGAGGCTTCCACTGACTCACAACTCAGAAATTGCACTCTCTGTGCAGACTAATAAAGGTAAAATGTACCACAACATAAGTAGGTTCTTCAGGTTTTGACCAAGAGGTCGTTCCTGTGTTGATTTCAGTATTTTTCTTGCAAGTTGAGCTTCTTCATGGGTGCTGTCAAGATACAGCTGTGAATTGATGGCTTAGTACTTGCATAAAAGTTACCTGTGTCTACCTCAACCTTAGAAAAAAACCACCACACCAACAACAATAAGAAAGGTTTAAAAGAAGCTGTACCAGGAACCATCTTACTAGAGTATAAACTTTTATAGTTGTTTTCCTAGTTTTGAAACAGTTTTGTGCTTCAGTAGCTGTGCAGGTGGTGGTGGAAGCAGGGGAAATGGTTCAAGGGAATTTGTAAAAAACTCAGGTACTTATCAGATGCTGCATAATGATTAAAAAGCTCTTAAAATTAGGAGAGTTGGGGTTTGTTTCTTTGGCATTGCTTTTCCACTAAGAAGCTGTCTTCTTGATTGTCATTTCTTTTTGTTCCCTGTTGTGACATTGAAAGTCTTCCCTGTTTTGTCCTTACATGTAGCGTTAACTGATGAAACTGTTCTGACTTTAATACCACAGATGTCAGTTTTCAGTATTAGGATCACCTTGCTAACCCACTGCTGATGTAATGTATAATCTCTGATAACTTTTCTATTTATGTTTTTCTTCTTGCAGGCAGCATTTTCTTAGTTATGTTGTTGACTGTTAAAGCCCAGGAAACATAGTTGTTCATTGTAACAAAATTTTGAAGTTAATAACAGGAAAATGGTCTCCACTCATCTTTCTAGTGTTTGTATTTTCTGATCTGATGGTGGACGATCAGCTGGTGTTTCCTAGAGAATTCAGAGAGAAATATATCATGTCAAAGACTTTGGGAAGGTAAGTATCCTGTTTTCTACAATACCAAGCATTAATTTTGTTACTGTTTTCAGGACCTTGTGCTTGAATTATTACCAGTGTTAACTGAGCTGCTGGGGTTTTTTTTATGATCCCACGAATATTCTAGGTGTTTTACACGGTAATTAAGAACCAGTAGATACAATTCTGGATGGGTTTGTATTTTACTTTTTCAGTTACATGCAGAAAATTAATTTGATGATCACTTGAAATGCTTTAATAGTGGATTTCTGGGGTTGGTACAAGTGTATCTGGGACCAAATCAGTAGCCTGTGATATGTAGTTTGGAACTGGAACGAAAATGAAACAACCTTCTTGTGCCACTTGAATGAAATCTGGCGCAGACTGAGACTCCCTTTGGTAGGAAACCTTTTGAGTGGTGTAAGCCAGTGAGACTTTGTCCTGCTGGAAATTGCTTTTCTCACTGCAGTTTAAAGAATGCTACTGGTTTTTGTTTTTTTTTGTTGATTACTAACTAGTACAAGTTAACAGAGACCATGGACCAGGGTAGTTTCTGACGTGCTTTGCATGATCTAAAGCTGATGCTTATTCAGAAGTCTTTAGCCTAGGGCACTGTGGCACACAGCAAGTATGAGACCAGAGTCTGGAGAATGCAAACACAGCAGTTGTGCTGCTGGAAACAGAAGTGCTTCAAGGCAGTACATGCAGTGTGTAATCCAGTGCTTTCATTTCATTTGTCTGTACTTGTTATGCAGATTTTTGAAAAGTATTTGCAAGCATTAACCTGGCTGTGCTTTTATGTTAGTGGTGCCTGTGGAGAAGTCAAACTGGCGTTTGAGAAGAGCACTTGTAACAAAGTTGCAGTAAAGATAATCAATAAACGAAAGTTTATGGCAAGTGGTATTAGAGAGGCAGTAAGTATTTTTATTTGTCTGTCTTTGGGCTGCCTCACAGTGGTCCTGGAATATTTTGTAACCTCCCTGACTCCCCAGCTCTCATCAACTAGAGAGGATTTCTTACTTGATGTCTTCTCTGTGTTATTTCAAGATGTCTTTTGATCTTACAGGATCTATAGAATTCTGTAGTAAATGCTGGCTTTTATACTTTGACCACGTTTCATGATGAACATGATTTTGTTTGTTAAAATTGTATGTTCAGAGGGTGATGGGGGTGCCTTGTGGGGTTTTAATCTGTTTATGTTATCATGCAAGATAAAGACTAGGAGAAAGTAGCATTTAATTTTAGGGTTGGCCCACATGGAAAGCATCTCAGAGGAAGGACAGTACCAATATGTATCCTTCAAGATTTATTTATTTATTTATTTATTTATTTATGTGGTTTGGTAATTAGGTGGAGATTTCTAATCTGCAGAGAAATGACATGTCTGGAGCACTGCCTTGCTACAGATAGTGAGGGCAGGCTGTTAATTGAATTCACTGAAGGCACCTAATCAGGTTATGGAAAAAGATTGTATGTTATGGGTACTTAAAGTAGCAAGGGACATGAAAGATGTCTTTTCTGGTACTGTCCCCTATTTCTCATGTGTCTTATTCCAGAACAGCACTGTCTTATCCAATATGATATTTGATTCTTTTAATAGAACCCAGCCTTTAATATCAATACAGAAATTGAAATTTTGAAGAAAATAGATCATGTGAGTATTACTGTATATTGAAATTACCTTATGTAGTAACTAAAGATCAATTTTATCTGTTTAGAAAAAATGTTAAAGGATGCATATGACTTCCTTCTTTTTTCTTCAAGTGTATTATGTCTGTACAGATTTGAGGTTTTAAGACCTTGAATAGCAGATGTAACTTTGAGAAAAAAACTTCACAGAAGTTTCAACCTGAGCCACTGTTGTAGAAATCTTTTTGTAAATACTGACAGCCAAATATCAAGATTAGGTTCCGCTGATATATTTTTTAAATTATTTTTATCCCCTCTTTCCTCTGCATCCAGCCCTGCCCCACAAAGTTGTTTATTTTACTCTTCAGCAGAGAGCTCATATAGCTTAATAAACTTCCCCTCACTTCCCCATGTGCTGTTCCATATGGAGAAAGTATGGAGGGATGGCAGCTCACAGCTAGGAAACATCAGGGCCCTTGCTGAGCTGCAGTTGAATGAGCAAGAATTGAATGTTCTTGTGTGTGGAGGTGCAAGACTTGAATGTTCAGTGTCTGCCCAAGCCTGGGGTGCTCGTCACTTGTGTTTAGTGTCAGTTTAACTGGCACGGCTGAAATCAGACCACATAGGAAGTTTAGGATGATAACCTGTTAATGTTAGTTTCTACAAATTATTCTCCTTTTTTTGTGTTTCCATTTGTGTTCCCTTTGTTATTAGCCTTGCTTAATCAAGATAAAAAACTTCTTTGAAGCAGAGGATTACTACATTGTTTTGGAACTGTAAGTATCTTGTTTGAAAGTAAATGCATAAAATTAAATGTTTTTCATAGCTACTAAAAATATGTATAGTTCTGAACTCTGTTTTTTTTCTTTGTTTGGCTTGTTATATTTTCTTTTGCTGGCTTCCACTGTTCTCTGAAACTACTGTAACATTAGGAAGCAGGATAACCAGGAGAGCAATCCTTCCACACTTTGCAGGCAGGTACTGCCTGGATAGCTGCCCACTCTGCTGTAGCTGTGGATGGCTGCTGCTTTGTTTTTGTAAGAGGGGGCTTGTAAAAAATCTTGTACCAACTCCAGGTGAAGGCTCAGGAGATAAGGCCTAATTCAGCAGTATGTGTGCTGGGCTTAGGACACTGCTCACTCATTTTCAGAAATATGTTCTGTTACCTGCATTTGTTTTAGGATGGAAGGAGGAGAATTGTATGACAGAGTGTCAAGGCCA